TGAACAGAATTCTGCTTCACAGACGTGTACTGCTCCAGAGCATTAGAGAGTGAAGACTGAGAGGGCGTGGCATGTAAAACAGCACTTGGAGGTCATTCTCTCTTCCACACTAGACCTCATCAATTACACACCCATCGAATTCTGGCTGGAGATCTACCTGCGTAAACCACTCCTGATTACCCCAGCCCAAATTGGTTATTTTCTCCCATAATTGACAAATTATAATCTCATCCACCCAAATTACAATCTCATTATATATTCTTGTCCTATTTTCAAATACCAGAGTCCCACCTAATCCACTTGATTGGTTCATTGTTTGAAGAAACAGGTAATCTCGTGTGTTTCCTTTTTATCTTCTACAATTCTAGCATGCTGCTGACATATAACAGGTTCTTAGGAAATTCTTATTACTTGTGTGGAGCTCTGAATGTTCCTTCATGTAGGTATGGATTCATTCATTTACACGCTGCCCTTCTAAATGGGGTAGACAACACCGGGCTGAGGATTTGTGTTTGTTCACCGCCGTATTCCCAGTGCCATCCCAAACAGTGCTTGTCACCAAATAGGTACTGGATGAATGATGATTAAATACATAATTAATTAAACTAAACATTATTCAGCACCTTCTAAGTATCACACACTCTTCTAGGTACTTATTTTTACCTGTGATGTTCTGAATTTCTGGCTTGACTCATTCACTGATAAAAGGAACTGGCATATGGGAGGATGACTGATAAGTGATTTTGAATGATTAAATAATAGAAGGATCTGTAGAACCCTACATCTGTCCTCTAGACATGGACTTTATGCCTAAGGACAGAGACCCATAAATATATAATTATAGTAGTGGGCAAGTTTCATAATATAGATTGATGAAAAGGGATTATAAAATACAGAGGAAGACCCTCTTAGCCTTGCCTGAGTTTGTCAACAGAAAAAATGATTTGTAACTTCTATTGAGAAAGATAAAAGGTTCTGAAAAAAAAAAACTGCTCACTGAATGACAAAGAGGGATATGAAACTAAAGAGATGAATTTCACCATAGTTACACTCACCCTCCGCCACATCATCGTCCACGGTCAACTTAAGGCTCTTTCCTCTCCGCACCACCCGAACGGTGTGCCACTCGTTGTCGTTGAGCTTCTGCCCTGCATACAGGGTCTCAGGTCCTTTGCCTAAGGATGGTGGTGAGTGCCAAAGTTAGAATCAATTCTCAAAGTAGGGCTCATGCATCAGGGTTGTCAAAGCCACACTGGTGCATATGACCCAGTTGCCTTCAAGAAATTATGTCCCTACGAAAGCCCATCCTAGTTTCACTGATCAGCAGGGTCCTCCATAATCATCCCCAAATGCACACGTCTCAGTTCAAACATAAAGGACAGTGACTCAGTAATGAAAGAAATAAATGCCTTTCTTTATCTTAGATACAAGATTTTAAAATGCCAATGGCAATAAGAAAACATTTACAGGAAATAGTAGTTAATGGTCATTTATTTCTCAAAGTCTTAGTATTCAGATGAATTTCTTGAAGATACAGGAATTTTATCATCATTTTTTTTCTTTAGAATCATTTGGTCATTTAGGCATAATACACCAGTCTGGCTTTTAGAGAGTATTCACAAATTGGATGAGAAAAGAACTCTGCAACATATGCTGCCTTAACTTGACATTTCTATTAACCCCTGGTCTTATCAGATGTCAGTGACCACAGAAATATCAAAAGTAAACATCATAATAGTAATAACATCAAGGTTTAAACCTAAATCCCATCATAAATAATGCTCCTGAAGGGAATGTGAGGGGCCCCAGACTCATTCTATTGTTCATCATCCTCCAAAAGGATCCAAAGACCTAAAAAATGAAATAATGTAAAATTACAAAATTGAAGCTTTTAGGTCAGAAGAATGTTTAGTAGAAAGTGACACTAAACAGAGGAATAAACCAAGTTATCTCAAGAGATCCAGGTCAAGAGGCTCAAACTGAAGTTCAAGTGGACCCTATGAAGACTCAGGGGCAACAAGCGTTTATGGTATTTAGAGACAAATGATGGCAAGATAGACACTGAAGCATTAGAACAATCAGGTAACAAGGGGAGAAAATGTCATGTTACTTTAGAATGTAACTCTGCATCTCACTATCGAACTGAGATGCAGATTTAAAAGACAAGGAAGACTGCATAGAACCAGAGGAAAAAGTTGGCCCTTTGCATGTGGATAGCTAAGATCATGCAGAAAGATGCTGATTAAATATTTCTGGATTAGTTGATCAATATGTGGAAAGCCCCATCCCTGAAAATGATTTGAAGAAAAGGTGAAATATGTAAGTGGCCAATATATCCATATAGATATAAGGCATGTGAAATATTTCAGAAAACCATATACTTGGCTCCAACATATACCGAGCACAGGGCCAGGTATACAGTAGATACTTTAATGAGTGCTTGAATAATCAATGTCTACATAGTAACCATTATTTAAAATAAATACATCTTTATCTAAGTAATTTTGAAAGCTTCACTATACGACTCTCACTAGCCACTCTCCTCCCTCCTCTGCCTCCAAAACTGAAGACTTTTATACTGCTTAGGAAAGGAAAAAAAATAGCAGCATCTGGCTAGAAATCTCCAGTTAATTTTAAATTTCACCTATTAATTCTGAGTAATTAGTATTCCTATTTTTTACTGATTAGTAGAGTTATGGTAGTAGTTGAAGTTTGGGGAATTCTCTTGAAAAATAAACAGACTTTCAAAGTGAAAACATTTGTTTTAATTACAATATATACAGCAAATAATTTATATTTTAAAATTTTCAGAATGCACCCAAAGCCCAAGTGCAATCCAAATTGACAAGAATCCTGAAAATTTAGGAAAACTTAAAGTGGACCAAATGTATCCAAAATTGGATAATGATGTCATAAGATCAATGAATCTTAGAAAAAAAGTAATTCTGTAATAAACTATTTCTATTCAATCTCAACTTCTCTTACTTTTTGAGTATGCTTGTCTCGATATTATGGAAAATATATACATTATAACCAGATTTTTCCTACATTTCGACATATTAGATAGCACTCCTCATTATCTCATTAAATTCAGGTCTAAGATTGATGTAACAGTTGCCTTTTCAACAGCAAATCGTGAGGGCATTGAAAGAAAATGGACCAACTCATGTGGATACTTTATAACAAGAACAGATGTTCTCAGAAAAAACAAATCTGCCTTTGTTTTTTTATGTTTTTATCTTCTTTATTCTACATGCAAATGCTTCAATAAGGAAGAAGAAAGCAAAGAAAGATGCGGAGAATTTTGGCTGTAGAGGCAGAACTGTTACAAATATAGGCTATTTAAAACATTTCCTATAAGGTAACATCTGTTCTTTAGGCAATTTTTGTACATCACTTAATTTTTATGATTGGGGACATGATAAGAGGGAGAATGACTAACACACAGTCGATAGTTTTGGAACATTGCTTCATCAGTGTCACATTAGCTACAGAGATGTAAAATAAGCTTTGTCTCAGTGCAATGTATTTAAATGATGCTAACATTCTGCAGATACTTCAGCTCTCATGGTATCCTTGAGATGTTCACAGTGGTC